AGTGCCCATCCTTAAATCTTTTTTCCGTGTCTATTACCTTGATCATGTTTAATCAGTGTCCTTTGTCCCTTACTCTGACTTTGCCCTTTTTTTATTATCCTGTCATGGACTTTCAGAAATACTAGCATTTTAATCTTGATTTTGCCTTCCTTAACCATGCCTTTCTTGACCATTTTATTAACCTAGCTTTTTCTTTCATTAAAACTGTTTTGGGGCCATGCTGTGGTGTAGTGGGTTAAAGCCATGGCCTGCAGTGCTGGCATTCCATATGGGTGCTTGTTCGAGTCCTGGCTGCTCCACTTCTGATCCAGCTCCCTGCTAATGTGCCTGGGAAAGCAACAGAGGATGGCATGAGCCTTTGGGCCCCTACACCCATGTGGGAGACCCAGAAGAAGCTCCTGGCTCCTGGCTTTGGATTGGCTCAGGTCTGACTGTTGTGGCCATTTGGGGAGTGAACCAGTAGATAGAAGACCTCTGTCTGTAAACTCTTTCAAATAAATAAATCTTTTTTAAAAAAACATTATGTATGTTTCTAAATTGCTTGGCATATCCTATGAGATAGACATATCCCTAGGAACAATATTCACAATTTGTTTTCTTCTTTCAGCTGTGCTCGATTTAAGACAGAGTGCGTTATAGACAGATATACCATGAGCAGACCACAAACGCTCTGGTGTTTTCTTGAGAACACAATAGCAGGTTGAGAAGGATAGTCCTGGAGTGCACTGTGTGCTATTCTGAGGTTCTTCTTTACACTGGAGAGACAGTGAAGCATTTTAAATCATGGCAACTAAACCACATTATTTGGGATTTCTCAGTGAATCACTTCATTTTTCCAGCCCACTCATCTATGGAGTTCAGTGACCTCAACATCTATTCTGTTCCCTTGCTAAAGAACTTGCCTAATTTCCCACTCTTCTTTCATTTCAAAGTTCCTCTGATTTCCCTTACACATCTTCTTCTGTGATTAGATTCCTCCTTACTGCTCACGTAGTGACATCCCTTTTTATCTCTCTTCCTGCATATTACTTTTCGTGCCTAGAATACTCTATCTTCCCTACACTTGTCCAACTAGGTCATGTCCTGTCTGCCTCATGTGCCCTTTTCCAAATACATTTCCCATATGTACTTATCTTTAGTTTTAGACAGTGAGCACTTCATCATTCCTGTGTCATGCACATTAGACTGTAAATTTTGGTGTAATAGGGAATACTGTCCCTCACTGCTTATTATCTTAGGCTAAAATAGTTGACAGATAATTTATTTACAATGGTGTACACAATTCTTGAGTTTTATTAGCTTGTGACATTTGTGATGTTGCAGTCTCACTTTGGATCCTGAATTAATAATAGACTAGTTGACTGGTGATGAATATTATGCAATTTACATCTATATTGGCTGCAAAAATGAGATAATAAATCACTTTGTTTAATTATTAAAGTTTTTCTGTTATTCTTGCACAAATATGAAAAGTTGTTATCGAATTCCCCTCTTTATATTTTATACAAGGCTCTGTGTTATTTAAATGTAGTATTGTCTAATTTATTAAACAGCTTAAAGCATCTTGTATACTTTGTAAATACTGTCTTATGATACCCCTACAACAAGTATAGATTGCTTCTAATAACTTTAATGTGTATTTTTCACTGGAAATTTGGGGGATAAGGAGATAAAGATTTACTTTACTTACATGAACATTTATTTTTTCCCTTAATTTGTGAAAGAGGAATTTACCAAAAGTTAGCCTGATAATTCCATAAAATAAGGTGTCTAAGGAGGAAGTAGCGTGAGGTTAAGCTGTTAACATTTTTTTTGCAAGGGAGTTTTGCTTTTTCACTGCCTTTGTTAAGTGCTATGTGGAACGTCTCTCTCTATCTTGACTCACACTTTTTAAAAAATGTATATACTTGGAGGCGGTAGGGGTGGGGCAAGGAAAACAGCTTTATCTGCTGGTTTACTTCCCAAATGCCAGCAACAGGGCTGAAGCTAGGACCAGACTCAGTTCTGGTCTCCTGCATGGATGGCAGGAACCAAGTCACTTGAGCCATCACTGCTGCCTCCCAGGATCTGCATTAGCAGGGAGCTGGAGTCAGCAGTCAGAGCCTGCTACGGTATGGGATGCTGTGTCTTAGTGGCTGGGCTAAATGCCTGCCCTGAATCATGCTATTTTGAAAATGAGTGTCTTGGGAGTGGGCATTTAGTCTAGTGACTTTGTTTTCATACCAGTTTTTTTCCCCCTAACTTCAATTAACTTGAAAATTCAAGTGTGTGTTTATGATACCTATTATTTAAAAAATAACATTTATTACTAAATAAATAAGGTAACTTTTATAAAAAGTCAGGAACAGCAATTTGCAATTAATATTAGGTCAATAAAATCTTTTCTATATAAGGAGTTGTTGGATTATAAATGCTGAACCCATTTTTTTAGATGGAATATGAGGTATTTTTTATAATGTTTCTCTCTAAATCATGAATTAATAAGAATCACTAAAAAACTACAGAATTCCCAAAGATGTGATTTTTGTGAAGGGATAACATGGAGATCAATAGAACTAAGCTTATACATTCATGGTCAATTGATTTTTGACAAAGGTGGAAAGCGGATTAATGTAGAAAGGATAATCTTTTTAACAAGTGGTGATGGAACAATTGGATGTCTGTGTTGGACACAGTGAACCTCAACCCTCATCATTTATATAGGAATTAACAAAAAAAAAGAAAGGAAAAGAAAAGAAAACCACCATCTGCACTTGTCCTGTCTGTTCAACTTTGTACTGGAAGCTCTTGCTAGGGAAAGTAGACAAAATGAAACAGAAGGCATCCAGAATGGGAAGGAAGTAGTACAACTATCTCTTTTTTTGAACATGACATAGTCTTCTATGTAGAAAATCCTCGTAAACCATAGAAATTAGTAGATATAAGAAATGAGTTCAGCTAAGTTGTAGAATATGAGTAATGAGTACATTTATCTGTTATCTGTATAATCTGAAATGTGCAATTAATAAAATTCCATTTAGAAATTAGATCAAAAAGAATAAAATAATTGGTAATAATTAAACAAAAATGTACAAAACTTATGCCCTTAAAACTACAAAACAGCATATTATAGTTTTGTGTAGTAAATCGAGTTGTGGTGTAGTAGGTTAAGCTACCCTGTGCAGCACCAGCATCCTATATGGGTGCTAGTTCGAGTCCCGGCTTCTCAAGTCTTCCCATCATCTCCCTGTTAATGTGCCTGGGAAAGCAACTGAGGATGACCCAAGTCCTTGGGCCTCAGCATTCATGTGGGAGACATAAGAAAAGTTCCTGGCTCCTGGCTTTGACCTGGCCCAGTCATGGATGGCCATTGCGACCGTTTGGGGAGTGAACTAGTGGATGGAAGATTCTCTCCCTCTCTCTTCCCCCCACCTTCCTTCTCTTTGTAACTCTGTCCTTCAAATAAATAAAAATAAATCTTAAAAAAAAAAAAAAAAAAAAACCCCACAACGTAGTAAGAAATTATATAATACCTAAGTAAATGGAAAGGCATTCTGTGTTTTTAGATGGCAATATTGTTGAGGTTGCAGTAGGGACTCCTTGAAATCCATGGGGCATTTGTTCCCATTTGTTCCAGGATTATGTTGGTTACCAAAATCCACGATGGTTAAGTCCCTCATTTAAAATGGCATATTGGCCGGCGCTGTGGCTCACTAGGCTAATCCTCCGCCTTGCAGCGCCGGCACACTGGGTTCTAGTCCCGGTCGTGGCGCCGGATTCTGTCCCGGTTGCCTCTCTTCCAGGCCAGCTCTCTGCTGTGGCCAGGGAGTGCGGTGGAGGATGGCCCAGGTGCTTGGGCCCTGCACCCCATGGGAGACCAGGAAAAGCACCTGGCTCCTGGCTCCTGCCATCGGATCAGCGCGGTGCGCCGGCCGCAGCGCACCGGCGGCGGTGGCCATTGGAGGGTGAACCAACGGCAAAGGAAGACCTTTCTCTCTGTCTCTCTCTCTCACTGTCCACTCTGCCTGTCAAAAAATAAAAAAAAAAAATAAAAAATAAAATAAAATGGCATATTATATGCATATAACTTATCCGTATCCCCTTATTTCCTTAAATTGATTCTAGATTACTTATAATTGGTAATACCAAGGAGCTTCAAAAAGTTTGTGGAAAATAGAAGTAAAAGATAAATTTATTTTATTACTGCATTTTTTTGAAATCTATATATGATTGTTTATGAATTTCCAGGAACTTTTTGAAGACCCTTGTATCTTTTCTCATTTTTAATGCTATGCAGATAATTCTTATACTCCATTGTGTAGAGAATAATTATGGTGGGACAGGGGCAGAAGTCTATTCACGTTCAGTACGACACAACCATCATAGGTCTAACTGCAAGGTACATGAATGTTCCTAGGCATGTGAGTGCAGGAGAGACCCTGAGGATCCGTGAAATGGTGGGAGGCTTCAGCAGTGTGTCTACACATCGCTTCATTCTCACGGATTTAGCATAGTGCTCAGCATGCGACAAATTCAAGTTTTTCTTTTTGTAACTTTCTGGACATTTTTTTCCTTCTTAAATATTTCCAGTGCACAGTTGGTTGAATCCACAGGTGCAGAACCTTTGGATACTGAGGGCTGACTATATTTAAATTGATCAACAGGTTCATTGGAGTCCCTATCAAAGGCCCTACTGAATTTTCTCAGAAATTGACAAGGTATAGATGAAAGCAGTCAATTTTATTTGATGTAATGACTCATTGAAGAAAGTCAACAAACTACATTGACTGTCTTCAGAAAGATAAGCAATTTATTCCCTTTCCCCAAAGAATATATTACTCTGTTTATAATCCAGTCACATTGGTTGTTACCAGGATACTTTTTTTTCCTATTCATTAACTGTAACTATAATTCATTTGACATTTGATTTTTTTCTTAAATAAGTACTGAAGTGAATTAAAGCCTTATCAGAGTTTGGGATCCTTCCTTTGATGATGTTTTTCTCATTTTTCTCTTTGTAGGGAAACTGAATAGCCAAGACTCATACAACAATTTTACCAACAACAATCCTGGCAACCCTCGACTCTCTCCTCTCCCCAGCTTGATGGTAGTGATGCCACTTGCACAGATCAAGCAGCCAATGACCTTGGGGACCATCACCAAACGAACAGGGTAAGACCTCAGGCTTCATTTTTTTTTTTTTTTTTTGCAGATGTTTTAAATGGTTGAATGAATAAAAGTAAAACATACTTTTTCTATCTGTGGTTTTGATTATATTCTTCATCTCGAGCCCATATGAAACTTAATGGCAGCAGATTAAGTACAAAGTCTAGAACTTGCACAAACATGCTCACACATATCCCTAGAAAAAACAGCAGTGACAAGTTGTGAAAACTAGTATTGACTAATAAGAACCAGATTCATCTACTCAATCTTGTATTTATTGGCCCCTGGTTTTGCTTGATAATACAGTTTGATTTTGTTTTGGTTTTTGTAGACATCATCAGGATTTAAAATGACTTCCAATTTTTTTTTTAAGATTTATTTATTTATTTGATCTGCAGTTACAGACAGACAGAGGGAAAGACAAAGTCCTTCATCTGCTGATTCACTCTCCAAATGGCTGCAACGGCCAGAGCTGGGCTGATATGAAGCCAAGAGCCAGGAGCTCCGAAGTGGGTACAGGGGCCCAATCAATTGGGTCATTTTCCTCTGCTTTCCCAGGCCATCAGCAGGGAGCTGGATTGGAAGTGGAGTAGCTGGGACATGAGCTGGCGCCCATATGGGATGCCGGCACTGCAGGCAGAGGCTTAGCCTAGTACGCCACAACACCGGCCCCGTGACTTCCAAATTTTGGCAGACCCCACTAATAAGGAGAGAGCTTTAGCGGGTAACTGTGTATCTAGTACTTCCTAAAAGTTATCTATATTGAGGTATAATTAATATATAAATGATTTTGTGGGTGGTTTTGATAAGTCAGTGCTACAAGATTTGGGTTTTAGTCAAGATGGATCATTAATATACTAAAATTTTTTGATAGCTGGGTTTTTGTGTTTATTTTAGCTATTTCTGCTTTGTGCGTATTGAACACTATGATAGGTGAAATAAGTAAAGCACAGAGAGATAAATATTGCATGTTCTCACTTGCATGCAGAAACTTCAAAATTGATCTTCTAGAAATAGAGAATAAATTAGTGATTTCCAGAGCCTTGGTGTGGTTGAGTAGGAGGAATAACTTTCACAGTTCTCTAGCACAGTAATATAACTATGGTTGACATGGATTCATTATTTCAAAATAGCCAGAGGAGAGAATTTTTAATGCTCCCAACACAAAAAAATGACAAATGTTTGTGGTAATAGGTAGCTCAGTTACTCTGATCTCATCATAACACATTCCATATATATGTCAATCACAGTGTATCCCATATATATGCATAGTTAATATATTATCAGTGTTTAAGACAATTTTCTCCTACCTATTTTGGATATTAGATGATCACTTATTCGGGTTCCTGAAAAGAAACTGCTATGTCTCTGATATTATTAGATGTTCAGTTATATAGTAGTAGTGGAAATTCATTTCATACCAAAAAATAAATGAATATATGTTAAAGGCAAATTGCTTGTTTTCTGCAATGAGCAATTTGATGTTGATTCTAACTTGAAATGGAACAAGTGCTTGAAACTTCCATGTTGCAGCAGTAAACAGAAAACTCTGCTTGTCCTTGAATAGTCCTCAGGGTCTTTACAGTGGGAGGAATAGATAGTGGTTTTTGCTTGTTGTTAGTATGGTTGTGATAGGTGTTTAACATGTTCACAGAGGTCGCTTTAGTGAGATGAACTGTCACTGTTCTCAGGGATACGGCCATTCAGCTCGAGGCCCCTGTCTAGGGGAAGTGGTGCTTTGAGTATTAAGTGATCCCACTGTTGAATGTAGAAATAAAACTGACTTTGTGGAACGTTAAAGGGAAGAATGCAGAAGACCTACCTCCCAGATCACATTTTATGGTACTGACCTTTTGCCACGTATGTCTTTTAATTGACTAAAGCTTTTTAACTCTTTGTGTTCAGTAGATGTATAATGTAGAATGGAATTTTTTAAAAAAGATTTATTTGAAAGGCAGAGTACAGAGGGAGAGGGAGAGACACAGAGAGAAAGAAATCTTCTATCTGCTGGTTCACTCCCCAAATGCCTGCAACCTGTGTGCTATACTAGGGCCAGGGCAAGGAGTCAGCGTTGCAATCCAGATCTCCGAAATAGGTGGCAGAAATCCACCACTGCCTTCTAGGGTTCACGTTAGCATAGAGCTTTAATCAGGAGCTAGGACTGAGATGGGTGCCCAGGTATCAAATTTGAGATGTAATTCCTTTCTAATGGCTTAGGAAAAACAATAGAAAATGACCCAAGTGCTTGGGCCTCTACCACCTATGTGGGAGATCATTTTGAGCTCCTGGCTTTACTGTGGCCCCACCCTGGCTTTTGTGTCTATTTGGGGAGAGAACTAGCAGATGGAAGAGTTCTCTCTCTCTATCTCTCCCTTTCTCTGTCTCTCTCTCCCACTCTCTCTCCGCACCCTTCCCTCCCTTCCTCCTTCCCTAACTCTGACTTTCAATAAATAAATCTTTTAAAAAAAATTAGGGGGGCTGGTGCTGGGGTGTAGTGGGTTAAACTGCCTCCTGTAGCACCAACATCCTGTATGGGCACCGGTTCAAGTCCCAACTGCTCCACTTTTGATCCAGCTCCCTGTTAAACACCTGGGGAAGCAGTGGAAGATGGCCCAAGTGCTTGTGGCTTGAAACCACATGGGAGACCCAGAAAGAGCTCCTGGCTTCTGGCTCAGCCCTGGCTGTTGCAGCCATTCAGGGAGTGAACCAGCAGGTAGGAGACTATTCGCTCTCTGTCTCTCCCTTTCTCTCTGTGTGTATAACCCTGCCTTTCAAATAAATAAAATCTCAAAAAAAACTTTTGGTTAGGGTCAGCACTGTGACACAGTAGGCTAAGCCTCTCTCTGTGGTGTAGGTGTTGGTTCATGTCCCAGCTGCTCCTGTTCTGACCTAGCTCTCTGCTACAGCCTGGGAAAGCAGTAGTAGGCCCAAGCATTTGGGCCCCTGCACCCGCATGGGAGACCTGGAAGAAGCTCCTGGCTCCTTGCTTTGGATCAGCCCAGCTCCAGTCATTGTTGCCATTTGAGGAGTGAACCAGTAGATAGACCTTTCTGTCTGTCCCTCTTTCTCTCTTTCTGTAACTCTACCTTTAAAAAAAAAAAAAATCTTTAAGGGGCTAGCACTGTGGTACAGCGGGTTGACGCCCTGGCCTGAAGTGCTGGCATCTCATATGGGCACCGGTTCTAGTCCCGGCTGTTCCTCTTCTGATCCATCTCTCTGTTATGGCCTGGGAAAGCAGTAGAAAGTGGCCCAAGTCCTTGGGCCCCTGCACCCACGTGGGAGACCTGGAAGAAGCTCCTGGCTCCTGGCTTCGGATCGGCGCAGTTCTGGACGTTGTGGCCAATTGGGGAGTGAACCATCGGGTGGAAGACTTCTCTCTCTGCCTCTCCTCTCTCTGTGTAACTGACTTTCAAATAAATAAATAAATCTTAAAAAAAAAAAATCTTTAAAAAAATTTGGTTAGAATTCTAAGGTTTTTTTTTAAAGTGTGTATACTGCACATACTTATATTGTGGAGAATTTAATTATTATTGAATGAAGTATTACGATTTTGAGTTTATATGTGCTTTTTGAATTTACTATTAGTGTAAGATACTTATATATTGCTGACTAGGCTTGTATCTAACATTTCAAATCATTATATTGCCGCCACATTTTTGAACTGCTTTTAGTATGTGCTATACTGAAGTGTTTAAGAGGGAATATATTTGTTCCACAATCAGTATTTGGTTTTAATTTTGTTGCCATTGTTAGAGATGTACAAACCTGTTGCAATACTAATAAAAAGAGTTCAAATGTCCCCATATTCCTGTTAACGGCTTAACTTGTTTGCTTTGTTATTCATGTTCTCTCGCTATCTGCATATGCACTCACATTTTGTTGCTCCTAACTGGTTCAGAATAGATTGCAGACTTGTCACCCCCATATCCCTAGGTACTTCACTGTATAGTATCTAAAGGCAAGGGCATTGTGTTACATAACCACAGTGTATTATCTGAGTAAGAGATCTTAAAACAAATTTTATTAGCTGTTTTTTATTCTGTGTAATTGTTGTCTGTAATAAATTTTGTACTTGTGCTGGAGCTTCAGAGTACCACCAATTACCCACCCTACCCTTCTTTTATCTTTTCCTATTAACACAGAGTACAGAGACTGATAAGTGTTGGATGACAGTGGTCCTAAGTTTTACTTGATCCCCGCCTGGTTACAAGACTCACTGAAGCCCTTTTCTGAAGTGTTGGTTGATTTTGCTCAGAAATGCTGTTGTGCTTTCCTTGTGGTCCTTCACTATAAGACACCTAAATAAGCATTTGGTCATAGAGTTTTCCGAACTCTGTGGTTTTGTTGTCTTAAAATTTAATGTTTTTATTAAAATACATGTGTTTTACCTTGTCAAAAGTAATATTTTTTTTAATTTGTGAGAAAAAATATTCTCTGAATTTCCATTTTTGCCCTGTGCGTAGTTTTGAGGCGAATCCCAAATAATACTATATCCCATTAGGTTTTTTCTTCTTATATTTTAAAGGCTCTATCTACTTTATTAATTTTTAAACAATGACTGACCAGTTCTCAAGACTGCAGTTAACATTTTTGTGTTAATTATTTCCATTAAATTGTGTTGTGTTTATTGAGATTTGATTGCATCATTAAGGTCCTCAGGATGATGAACAAATGGTTTTTTAGCATGTCAGTTTTATCTCTAATCACAAATTCTGATTTATTCGAACTATCATTAAGCTCCTTTTCTAGTTTTTAAAAGCAAAATTAGCAAGAAATATTTGACTTGGATAATGCAGAAAGAGTCCTCACAGATGATCTATTTATAAACAAGTTAATTCTATGATTACCTCCATTATACCTGATAATATATGTAATAAAATTATATACTTAATTTATTAGATCAGCTTTTATTTTTCCATGTCCTAGGTATTTTACCTAAAGGCATAGAATAGCTAGAAAAAGTTATATTTCTAGAGCAGAGATTTATAAAGATTTCTTTGGACCCA